AACATTTCCCCATCCATGGTTCACTTTCTAAAAAGGCCATTTATTTCTGTCTAGAATGATGTACACATGAGCGTTCTTGCTCATTTTGCCTCCGATATATGAGCAAAAACGGGACGGACAACATTAAATTTTGGCATAATCTTGCACCTCAGTGTTTGATATTTATATTTCGCTTTCTGGGTCAAAACTACTCGAATTTCCTCACTAACGTTGTTACGACTGAATGGACTTTTCAATTCTCTATCCAACGATTCTCGAATTCTGTGGCTCGAATGGTTCTTGAGAAACTTCGAATAAAGGCCATTTAGTTATCTCCGGAATGATGTAAAAACGAGCGTTCATGCTCATTTTGCTTCCGAGAAACATGCAAAACGGGACGGAAAACATGAAATTTGGCAATTATCTTGCGCCACCCTTGCACAAAACGCCGATAATTTTTCCAAGTTCATAAACAACAGAAAACTGTATTTTTTCTGCATAACTCCCCCCTGACTTTAAAGCTGGATCTGCCCCTGGTGATTTTTGCACTTTTCCGAATTGTTTCACTTCATTTCTACGGCCACGAATTTTATTAGCATTTGCTTTGAAAAATATATCAGTATCGTGTTTATTTCGAATTAAAGTCGTCGTAATCCTGATCATACTCCGAGGTTTTTTCGTATTTTCTCAATAAAAAAGCCCGCTAATTGCAAAGATGGAAATGTGGATGTCAGCTATTAAAAAAAAATACGCAATTATTACCGACTCAATTTTGAAAACCCAGAGAACACCATTATTTGGTTTATTTTGTAAAAAGGCAAAAACTTAGTTATCAACATTCGATAGGTAATTAAAAATTGCATTTCCTGGTAAGTTAAAAAATATACGGTTGTATTTAAATTAATCAAGTTAAAGCCACTTAAAGTTCTTATTTGATTGGTTTAAATTTGTGGACACCCTGTATAACATGGTAAGTTTATTACCATTGGGATATAAAATATTATATCTTGTTACACTTCACTATAAATTACGCTTACATAACTTAAATACTTCTAAAGTATTTGACACGTGAAAATTAGATTACATTTTGATTAAATTCGTATTATTTAAAAAACCTTAAGATTTAGGTGTCATAAACCTTATTAAAACAGACACTTATTTTGTTCAGCGAATCCAAAAATGCAATAATATACAGGACATTCCATGTAAAAAAACGCAACTTTGATACCTTTAGAGCTTTTGGGACATAATAAATAATACTTTTTTAAAATGAAACGGTTTAGCCGCAAACTTCCGTGCCGTATAGCGTGAATAACGCTGTATAATAATTTGCAGCTTCTAAAAAATATTTCAAAATAAACCAAAATGAAATATAATTAGATTCAAGCCGGCCCTGTGGCAGGTTCCTTTCCATTCCCAGCGCGGTCATGTGTTCTAGACGTCTACGACAATCTCCGTCAGACTTACGAACGACTGCGCTTGTTTTCTCTCTTTCTCGCTCGCACATCGGCTACAGTTGGGTAGGTCGTCTCTGGGTATCCGCAGACCCGTAAAAGTTGTAAACAAAAAACGCGCATGTGCCGATGTCGAGTATTCAATAACGACGAGGCCAAACAGTAAAATACTATTGCACCGTGTTGCCGCTTTTAACAAGAAATCCGAAATCATTTTAATTGTTTTGAGAAGTTCTTAGTGCAGGGAGAACTACTTAGATTTGGAGTTTTCAAATATATTTTTAATGAACGTTTCATTTATAATTTAACTCTAAACAAGGGAGTCGTTTTTTTTTATTTTTGCAACCAAATTTAATTCAAATTGACGCTGATGTGTCGTCAAAAAGGACCTTATAAATTATTGGAAATTTTGAAGAATTTGGATAATACAGAGACCGAAGTTTTTTAAGAAAAACACAAATACGCAATAAATAACACACAAAACTACGCATTTTGAAAAAAATTGTCATGAATAATCAAATTTAACTCAAGTAATTAATGCCGAAATAAATAATTAAGTCAAAGTAAACTTAATAGAAAACGACTGAGAATGAGGGTAAAATGATGCTTGTTACGAATCCAGATGAATTACGAAATACACATCAGAAAATTAATCTTCGTTTTGAGCCACACATACATTTTCGAAAATAATGTTTTTCTTTTCATAACCGAGCATTTTAAGTAAAACTGAAACCCAAAACAATGTGTAGCTGTTTGATAGACAACAAAGTTCGGTAAAACTGATCAGATTCAGGGTGGGCGATTTGCAGAATTTCACATTGGTCACTTTAAGGCCAATCAGCACGCGCAACGATTTAAAGTCTAGCCATTGACTCGGTAACTTGAACTCACATGATAAACAGTTTCTGAGAAGCGACATTTCAGCTCAGCCGCTGCAACAGGATGATTAGAAACTTAATCTAATTCAACCTTGGTCAGAGATGTTAAAAATACATTTCTTGTAATGCATGTATTTCTTGTAATGCGTGCATTCAAAAATAGGTTAATTTGCAAAAAATACACACTTTTCTACGTAGAAAAACTGTCTTGTGTTTGCGGTAGCGTCATAGACAAAAGTCCGGTGGAGCAAAATCTGACGGTCGGGCGGGCGGTACAAGTCCATACCTTTATTGCTTGTTATGTAATACGAATAAATCATGTTATACCAGATCTTAGGAATCATCAATTATTCCTGGATAATTTAAATATATACCCAATGGATAGTGTTCATGTTCAAATCATTTTCTCGGTCAATTTTTTTAGTATCTCCAACGTAACCAGAAGGAGATTAATCATTAGACTTTGGACCTAACAATGATGGTAGGTAATAGAAGATTCCGCTCTCGAACTGTTCATTTTTCTTACAACCTCAAAAATCTGCAATATAAGATCCAAGCGTCCAAAAACTGATGTAGTGAAGTAAGGTTATAAAGTAAAGTTGAGCAGTTCTGTGATAAATTGTGCAGTTTTGTGATGAAACACTTGTAATTAAAGCTCGCATATGCAGTCATTTAAATCATTGACTTGCAAACTCACTTGAATAAAGACAATGTTGCCGAATTTCTGATTTTGTTTTTTGCAAATATTTCCCGTTTTTGTAAAAATTATTTACTTTCACTCTTTTCTCCGTTTACCTCAAGTAGCTCCTGATAACTGCTTCGGGTAACGCCCATCTTTATCACGCGGTTACTGACATTTTTATCGATAAATTCAATGTTAAAAATAGGCGAAAGACAAAATGAAACAATGCTAATGTTTACCTCCGGCAACTTTGTTTTGGCTGAACGGAGAATGTGGCTGTCGTGTTTAGTATGTATAGCAAGGTCGTCGCCGTTTCCTTTGCACGGTCAGTGTCTCTTCGGGTACCGTGGGTTCGCTATTTTGTCGGCCGCGGTACCCGTATAGCGCTTCGTTTGGCTCGACAAGAACCCAGAGTCGGCGGCACACACCTGGCCCATATGCGAGATAATCGACGACAATCGCATATAAAAAACATCAATTTCAAGGTGTTGGTTCTCCTAGGGTACATGTCGGATTTGTCTATCTGTCTGGTTCTTTATTGATAAAACTATTTGGAATTTAGGCCAGACTTAGAGGAGAGCATTTCTTTGCACAAGCTATTTTCTTTTCTTCCAATGTTTATAACATACTAAGGCTGGTACTACCAATCATGCAGTAAAATGGTACACTTTATAGCAAAGTTTCAGAAAAAAGTCGAGTTTCAAAACAGAATTCTTAACTAATTTTCCCCGATCTATTGGTCAATAAAGTCGGCACAAGTTAAATCTAAAAGAATTCACAGGAACTAACCCCAATACCCTAAAAAATCAAATATGTTCAACCAAAAAGAGATTTGGCAAATGCGCAGTATTTTCGAACTGCTCCGTTGTGTCATCCGTGTGACAGACAATGTGAACGTGATGTCGTCCTCTAGTAACTTCTGGAAAAGCAGTGAATTTCAAAGAGTGAAAAGTGGAAAAACAACGCATTTTCATCAAGGGATCATCTGAAAAATGAGCAAAACAGTAATAAGAATAAAAACAAGAACAAGTCTGCTGTTGCAGGACAAAAAATGTTTATAAATCGTCCGATTTAGGCAAACTTTTATTTCCTTCTAAATCGGGGCGCGTAGCAGCTTTCGTAAGTGTTCCATTTTTGATTGAAAAACCCACATTTTTTGGTAGTTTACTCATTTTGTTCCTATGGGAAATAGATACATTTGAATCTGTTTTAACTTTAGTCCAGTCCTGTGCATCTTTGTTCCAAATACCATAAAATCACGTGGTACCAAACGGGCCGACGATGGTAAACAACACGATTCAATGACTGAGGAAACGGCCAATTTCACATTAAGATGGTTGCGATCCCCATACAACATTGTAAACAATTATATCCGATGGCGTTGATTATCATGTGCCCGATCGAAGGACCGTTGTAAATACTATTTATCTACCATTGCACGATATTACAGTTATTATGAGTGTCTTGAGGTGGTTCTCTATAGGCGGGCCTTAACCCCCCTAGGGATTTATTAATATTATTCCCTGGTGGGCAATGGATCAATATTTATTATACCTGGATAAATAGTCGGCATTTATTGCAATTTACGTACTTCCATTTGATTATTGA